TTTTCAGATGAAAGGGATCCACAAATGCAGGAGAATGCAATTTACAGTTTTGTTTTATCACTCTTTATTTTGTAGTTATTCAACTTTTCATCAGTATTACCGGTATGTACCGTAGTCTGCCAACTTGATTCTCTAGCAAAGGATTGTGGGTAAAGTGTGACATCATTATGTTGCTAGCATTGAACTTTCCTTTAAGTCACCAGCTTTTAGGTTTTACTGCACATATATGCAATGTATTATGGGAAATAAGCTCCATTTTGTATTTAATGGAAAACTGTTACCGATATTACCTTCTAAATGTTTTTACAGTACATGTATTAGAGTTTATACCATTAATAGTACTGTAGAATACTTTATTTTCGCTTGGAATTTATTTTCGCTATCTTCGCTGAAGGAATGATTCCGTGAAAATAAAATCCAGCGAATATACTTTTTTTCCTATATTTCACATTAAACTCATCAAAAATCAGTGAAAATAAATCCCATACAAAACGCCCAAAAAGCCTTTTCAGCGAAAATTTATTCCAGCGAAAATAAAGTATTCCACAGTATATGACTTTTTCTTCCTATCTCATCAAAAGAAATTTTGAGATATGAAGAAATACTTTGACCATAGAAACCAGTGTAAAAAATGACAATTTTGACCATTTTCCATGATATTTCATCTGGTGACCCCAATTTTTAGTTTTATTTTCAGTTCTCCAATGGTATGAGCACATAATGATAAAAAAAGGAAGAACATTATATAGGTATATAAGTTGAATTTGGTTTGCACATCCTAAAAGCACAAATATACATTCAGAAATTTGATAACCTGTTTTGACTAGTAAACTACTTTAAGGAAACACAGAAAAAGACATAGCAAAACAATGTAAACAATTCTGAAATATGTAGGGCAAGTATATTATGTATCATTTCTACACGTTTATGCAAATAAGCATTGAGCAAATACTATATGCAATATTTCAAAAATGCAAATAACACAGAATAAATGGCATGGTAAATACTACAACAAATAAAATTAAAAACGCACTGCATGCGTGACACAGATCCGACGCTCACGTATACCACCTAATCTCCTGGCTTGACGTCACTACACATATTCCACTCGGTCACCGGGCATCCCCCAAAAAAGGATGTTTAATAACCGAGCTTATTACTTGCAGAGAACATGAAACCTATCCACACGATTCGCGCCACACAACGTGACCAGAATGCAGCAAAGGCCTTCAGATCTGGCTGTACTAGGATGGTAAAAGTAATGGTACAGCATTATAACAGCGAATAAGTACTGTAATAAGTAATGAATAAATTCTGTATCAAATTGTAATAATGTAATTATAATAATGACTGAGAATGCCTATAATTTGTTGCTCTTGTGTTCATTTCTAAATGCATGAATTTAATCTGAGTCGAATAAGGTGGTTATAATCCTGAGGATTTAAGTTTTTCATAATAATGCTCCTGTATTAATGTACCATGCATACAAACACACAGGTGACTGTTTATTACTAGAGGCCGTATCCATAATAACAGTCACACCCATTCTCTTTGAACAAATGAGAACCAAAAATTCATCATTTCTAATATGTGATGCTCTAATAGAAGCTGCTCCCCCTCTGTTGCATTGTAACATTTCAATAGAAGTCGTGGCTTCTAATACAGACTTTAAGAGTATGTGTATGGGTGAATTATGTTAACCTTGTCTACTTTTTTAAATCAACGTGAAGCAGCTAGTGTATAAGTAGGAAACATCACATGACAGGGAAACTTCCGCTATGCCCTCACAACATCCCACCATTCTGTAATGATATACTTAATTTGATGTTGTTTTAGCAAACTTCACACAAAATAAACAAGCTGAAAAAAGTTTAATATTATGCAAAATTGCATGTAAATTATATAAATTGTTAAACATTCAAGTACATTGAGTAGTGTATGCCTTGTGAACCGAATTTTATTTGATTTAAGCACATTAATATTATATAAAATATAACGTGATTAATTAATAGTTAATTAATATGAAGTGATTCTAATTAATACATACATATATTAATTAAAAATCTATCAGACATTCAACCATACAAACAATTACAATCCACTTGAGCAAATTGCCCCTCCCCCAAACAATAATGATTCTTTCCTAAACCTATACAGAATACAATAATACCCTGGGAGAAAGGGCTTTACAACTGATAATGATCTGTCAAGCTCATCATCACGATGCTGGCCTGGATGTTTTTATCTAAGATGATGGCCCACTATTTTATCAATATTGATAATGTTTATGTTTCAAATTAAATATCATATCTTACCATATACTTTATCTGTAGAATACAGTGTTTAGATATAGCCTCTTTTGCAAAATTGAAATTTTATATTTTACATGAACAGTTACTATGGTAACCCTTTGAATTCCATTATTTTGTGTAGTCAAAATGTTGTATTTAAATTATTTTTGACAGTATTGTTATTTTCACCAAGGTCCCTTTTTTACCAAAAGATCAGATCAAGTATCAGAGCAATCAAGCTGGTAGTTTTCAGGAAGAAAAAATTACAAAAATATTTGCAAAAAATAGAGAAAAGAAGATCTCAAAATGAACAAAGTTTATTCAATGTACCTGCATGCATGTGAAGTATCAAAACAATCAGACTTGTAGTTTTCAAGAAAAGGAACTCATTTATAGCAAAGTTGATATAGACATTGAATAGACGCAGATGTGGAAAGGTCAACATCAGACACATATATGAACAGCTATGCTCTCTCATTTTTTGATGAAATGAGACGTAATTTCTAGTTCATTTAAATGTGCATTGTGTTCATTCCTGTGGCACGTAACTGTTCAATTTCTCTTTGATTTTATTCAAGGTATACTAAACCTTCACAGGTAGATTGAAACCAGTGTTACAGTATGGTAGTAAACACTTAAACGTACACTTAGAGAACATGAAGTGAGCTCATTATATAATTTTATTATGTTGGGTGATTACTGGCATATCACAACTTCCTGAAATTAAACATCATCAATGCCCTACGTTTGTTATATAATACTAATAAACTACTTGAATTTGTCCACTACACCTGACATTTATAGTCCCACTCTCCCTTGCAGAGTCTTTGAGCTTATGAACTGACCTAGGGAGCCAAAAAGAAACGCAGACTCTGCCATAGGCGACATTTTACACCAAATTGGTATTCTGCGTTTTTTTAAATTCATTTGTTTCTTATATCCTAAGCTTTTGTTGAAAAAATTGTATGTTTTACTTAATATAGTTATATTGAATATTTTTACATTCAGTTCAAAAACCTTTTCAAAAGGTTAAAATAATGAAAAAGTAGATCCTGTCGTAACTAGATAACCTAGATGTGAATAGTCGATTCAACATGGAGTGTGTTCGTGTCGCCGCCTTGGGCGATGTGGGCGCCTCGCACTTACCCAGTCTTCGTTCGACTGCTATGTGGCGTCACAACTAGGGTGACTCAGGGCAGTTTTTACCACTCAAGCTTTCAGAGCCAGGGAAGTTTGGGAACAAGATAGCGAAAGACAAAATCGATAGATAAAAAGGTGTTTACCGGTAGGTAATTTTCTCAAACATAAAATGCAACTGGGCCTGATTTTAAAATAAATTTGATACATTTTACACGAGTTTCACTCACATAACAATGGACCAATACATATGTACTTCCTCCGGCAGCTAGAATAACTATTGAAGACAGCTGAGAAACATGGATTTCTAGTAGCAAAAAATGATTTTTTAGAGAAATCAGAACTGAAATAGAGATAGTATGTTTGTGTTTCGCTGGGTTAATATGACCGTTACAATGTTTTTTTCAACTCCCAAAATACCCACAAATAAATATGGAAATATTGAGGGGATTATTTTATGGTGCAATTTGGAAACACTGATATTTGTTGTACTGCGACTGTGTGCGTTTGGCAATCTGTCCAACCTTCTGATTTGTTGACCTTGCTTGCGCAATATCCGCAAGTGCACAATCGATAAATGCGCAAACACTTTTCATTCAGAAACCCAGAATTATCTGTTTTTGTTCTTATTTTATTCTGTCTAACAATATAAAGCCTAGCCTAGAGCAGCCATGGTTAATAAACATGGTGACATTAATGGGGGGTAGTCATCGCGCCACGCATGCGCCAGATATATGGTCCCATATAAACAAAGATGGCAATTCAGATCAACGAGTATAAACTGAGACCTTATTAAGCTTTTATTAGGTAATTTTTAGGGGATTGGAAGCTATTGAAGGAGTAACCAGCGGTAATTAATGCAAGTTGCACCCAGGTCAAATTCATACTTCATACTGATTCCCATTAGAAGATCGAACGCATTGGATTATGGGAAAATCAATGTTTTTCAACACTAATGTCGCACATGCACAGCGCGACGACTGCCACCCTTCAACGCTGCAAGACACATGCAATACTCAACATAGATAATCTCATATTTTAGATTTCACACTACCAGGGTATTTTTGCTGGAAGGTTGAATTACAGATTATATACCCCCTAAGCTCATCATGAAATGAATCACAATAAACCATCAGATTGTTGTTTTCAGTGAAATATACATTTGACCAAAATAAAATGAATGACAAAGTTATAATTAATTAATAAACAAATTGTTCATTTTACACAACCTACAAAACAGCCTATCATCTTATGAGAGGTTGGGATTAAAGCTCCATAATGCAGGACCCCTGCCTGGGATATACAAAAAATACTCAGTATACAAAATACAGTATCGAACGTATATTAAAGAAGTAACACATCACAGATCTTTGAATACAAACTAATTACATTGGAAGTACTGGTAAGTACTCTACAGTCTAAATGTGAAAACATTTCCTAAAACTTTCAATAGAGGGCACTTGTTATGGACAGTTTACACTGAGGAAAAGCCCTGGTTAAAAAGATTACTTTTTGTTAAAATTGACTAGACTTCCATTGCAAATAAGCCTTTCCATTTTAACAAGTACTTACTCAGTAAATGCACTCAGTAGTGCAAATCAGAATTTCTCTCCAAGAATGCATTGCATACATGCTCAGTGAATATGCTCAGTAGTGCAAAATCAGAATTTCTCTCCCAGAATGCAATGCATACATGCTCAGTAAATAAACTCAGTAGTGCAAAATCAGAATTTCTCTCCCAGAATGCATTTCATACATGCTCAGTAAATATGCTCAGTAGTGAAAAATCAGAATTTCTTTCCCAGAATGCATTGTATACATGCTCAGTAAATATGCTCAGTAGTGCAAAATCAGAATTCCTGTCCCAGAATGCATTGTATACATGCTCAGTAAATAAACTCAGTAGTGCAAAATCAGAATTTCTCTCTCAGAATGCATTGTATACATGCTCAGTAAATATGCTCAGTAGTGCAAAATCAGAATTCCTGTCCCAGAATGCAATGCATACATGGTCAGTAAATAAACTCAGTAGTGCAAAATCAGAATTTCTTTTCCAGAATGCATTGTATACATGCTCAGTAAATATGCTCAGTAGTGCAAAATCAGAATTCCTGTCCCAGAATGCAATGCATACATGGTCAGTAAATAAACTCAGTAGTGCAAAATCAGAATTTCTCTCCCAGAATGCATTGCATACATACTCAGTAAATATGCTCAGTAGTGCAAAATCAGAATTTCTTTCCCAGAATGCATTGCATACATGCTCAGTAAATAAACTCAGTAGTGCAAAATCAGAATTTCTTTCCCAGAATGCATTGTATACATGCTCAGTAAATATGCTCAGTAGTACAAAATCAGAATTTCTCTCCCAGAATGCAATGCATACATGCTCAGTAGTGCAAAATCAGAATTCCTCTCCCAGAATGCAAT